TGTCAGAGGCTGGAGAGGGATGGCAGGAGACAAATTGCTTGATCATTGTCTTCGGTCCACCCTCTCTGGGGCACCTGGTGCTGGCCACTGTCGGTAGACAGGATACTGGGCTGGATGGATCTTTGGTCTGACCCAGTACGGCCGTTCTTATGTTCTTATGAAATAATTTCAAAATAACGGATGGCTTATTCCGAAATCGGTAAACTTCATTCTATGAGGAATAATGCCTATTCCGAAATAGCTATTTTGAAATAAGGCACGTGTAGACGCTCCATTGCTTCTATTTTGAAATAGCCTCTCACCAGGGTAAATCTAAGTTATTCCACCTCAGTGCCTCTTGGAGCTCTAAACTGAGATAGCACCTCTACATTAGGGAAGTCTGCCTTGGACTACTTTTGTGGCTTTCCTGCAGTGTAGATGTGCTATTTTGAAATAAGCTATTTCAGAATAACTATTCCAGAATAGTTTATTTTGAAATAGCTGTGCAGTGTAGACATACCCTTAATTCTCTATCCCGTTCTTAATTATTCCTAACATTTTGCTTGCTTTTTTGACTGCTTCTGCACATGGAGTGGATGTTTTCAGAGAACTATCCACAATGGCTCCAAGATCTCTTTCTTCACTGGTAATTTAGTCTTCATCATTTTGTACGTATAGTTGAGATTATGTTTTCCAATGTACATCCCTTTGCATTTATCAGCATTAAAAATTCATCTGGTGTTTTGCTGCCCAGGCACCTAGTTTGGTGAGAACTTTCTGAAACTTTTCACATTCTGCTTTGGACTTTACGATCATAAGCAGTTTTGTATCATCTGCAAATTTTGCTACCTAACCATTTACCCCTTTCTCCACATCATTTATGGATATGTTGTTTAGGACTGGTTGCAGTATGGACCCCTGTGGGACACCACTAGTTACCTCTCTCCATTCTGATAACTTGCCATTTATTCCTACCTTTCGTTTCTATCTTTTAACCAGTTACAAATCCATGAGAGGACTTTTCCTCTTATCCCATGACAGCTTATTTTGCATGAGAGCCTTTGGTGAGGGACTTTGATGAATAAGATTAATTTATAAGTTGTTGCTACAAGCAACCGTGTACGGTACGTGTCAACTGTCAGATAAGTGTTGTGGATGTAGAGAATATCTTGGGACTGACTCATTGGAGAAACAAGCAATGTTCTGTAACCCTCATGGGAGTGGAAGACTGAGACCAGATCTCAGCTTGCAGTTCTATGAACAGAGACACCAATGTAAGATTGCTACAAGTATAAACACTTTAAAGGACCCAATCAAGATTATCCAGGTTTTTAACCTCTTTCTACAAGGAATAACTCCTTTTTGTTCAAGAGCTCCTTTTGTTCAAGACGGGGAACTGCCTCTTTTTGCGCAAAAAACCCTATAGAAAAAAGCACAGGTGCCCTGGTGGCCATTTTGTGAATAGCTATCAGCTCTTTCTTTCAAGAAAGCATCCATGCAGTCTGGACGCTCTCTTGCACAAAAGCACATTGCTTTTTCGATGCACTTTTGCAGTGTGGCTGCTCTCTTGCTCAAGAAGTTTTTGCAGAAGATCTCTTCTGCAAAAAGCTTCTTACACTACAAGCCTGTAGTCTTGACCTAGCCTTAGTTATTATACACAGAGTCTTGGTTGGTGCCTGCAGTCACAGAGGCCCCTTACTGCTTCTTTTAGACCCAAATATACATTCTCTGAACATTCAACATTACTAGGTTTTAAGTTCTTAGTTAATGCTGGTCAGACAGCTTCCTAAGATGGATTGAGGTACCTGCATATGTCATTTCAAAGACACACCGGTAACTTTACGTTACCTTGACTCAAGAATCTGAGCAAACAGATGTTAAGTGATCACTACATGGTACCAAAGCTTAAAAAGAAAAAAAAATCAGGAACATTCCCCATAGATTTTCATTTTTCCTTCTATTTCCCTTTGGCTTTGTTTCCACTGGTCATCGTGTCTACTTTTTATTGCAACATACTAAAATAACTCTAATGGTGACTAATTAAATACATGGTTACAATGTTCACCTTAGAATTCATGAACTGTGTTATCAATGAGTCATTAGGTAATAGTCTTTCTTCCTAGTCTGTATTAAACTGATGCCCTAGAATGGTGTTAAAGGGCAGTCTTTTGGGTGAAATGTTAAAACAACATCAATCCTTAAGTGGGTTACAGTCCCACAACTCATATTTTGCAGTGTTAACCATGGGAATCCTAATCACGGAGTCCTGGCCAAAGAGGGTTTTTTTTCAGTTTTAGCTGCATACAGTATTTTCATTCATTTCCTGTTCTAAATGGTTAGTGTTGCTATGTGCTTTCAGACAGGTTAGTGCTCTCCCCGCCCCCTGTGGACTGCCATATTTCAGCATGGATTCAACAGTCTTTGTGTGTAGCATCCTAGAAGGTCTGTTTAGCGCTTTAGGAGCCATTAGAAAAAAACATAATATTGGTATGCAAGATTTTATAGAGATAGTGCTGGGACTAAGAGCCAAGTTCTCTTGCTTTTCAGCTGTCCCCTCTGACCTTGCACAAGGCATGTAACCTTTCTATGCCTTGGCTTTCCTATCTACAATGAACACCACACTTGCTGCACAGTTTCTGAGACCTAATTCATTATTCGTGTCGTGCCTGGAGACCCTCAGACACAAGGCACCCAGAGCACACAGTAATATAAACACACCACACGCCTCGCATCACTCCAAAGGCCAAACAAAAGGCTGAAACTGGAAAGGGGACCCAGCACCCACCAAGATCCATAGTTGGATTCACACCCCATCTCCCCAAAGTTCAGGGATGAATTTGTCCTGTTGAAGAAATTGGGACAATGGAACCCAGCACCTGACTGACCCCTCCCCTCACTTCCCAGGTGGGGGGGGGGGGCTGAGAACAGGGGCCCGGCTGCAGGGGGGCAGGACCCAGGGATCACCTGCTTACGTGAGCCTGGGACAGTGGGGCACGGTGGGAGGGCAGCCAGCTTGAGAGGGTTCCCAGGCAGCTCTGGCCCCCACGCCTCCGCTCCCACACCCAGGGAGCAGCAGGCAGGCAGGCGGGCGGGGGAGGGGGGAGCCGTACTTCCCCTTCGGCCGCTAGAGCTACAACAGCCTGATTTCCCCGAAATGATGCTCGCCAGCCAGCCAATGAGCGGAGGGCGGAGCCTCGCCAGCCCTCCGAGCGGATGGTGATTGGTCGGCAGGAGCCGTTCTGGCCAAACTAATGGGGAATCCCGGCTGCTGCGAGGATATACCGAGGGCCCGCGCCACAGCCTGCACAAGTCGCCGCTGGGTCGCAGGAGGCGGATCTACCGGGGTGTGTCTGCTCCCTCTGCACCTTTGCAAGGCTGCGCGCTGGGGACCGGAGCGCAAGGTGGGTCGCGCCCGGGGCCGCTCGCAGCCATCGAGCCGCAGGGCAGCTCTCCTCGGGGCAGGACCGCTTCGGAGCAGGAGCTGAGAGACTTTGAGGGACTCTTAGCAAGCAGCGCTCTGTCCTGCCAGCAGGGAGGCGGACCAGGAGATAGCAAGGAAGCGACTTGAGTGCAGAAGCTTGGCAGGCAAGTTGCCATTAGGACTGAGCCCTGTGAGCGGGGGCGGGAGGAGATAGCAAAGCCCAGCTGCACGGCTAGCAGGATGCGATGAATGGCCTTAGCCCTGCAACCCCACTTCTGACCGGGTCATCGAGGAGTTTAGGGAATTTGCAGAAACTTTTAGCTGCGGTGCACCCACGTTCTGCTGATAGAATGGAGCTGGTTTGGAGGAAGGGGGTCGTTGCGGTTTTAACTTGCCTGTAGAGCTACACGTGCCCTGCAAAGACCAAGCAGCGCCTCTGATTCTGTGCTTGTGCATCAGGTTGCTTTCTGAGGTGGGCGGGAAGAGATCGAGACAAATATGAACCACCGTGCAATAACAAAGGGTGCTGTTGCTGCGCTCTAAGACACAGGAAATAAAGGCTGGAAAAAAAATCATGCTTTTGGCTTCAGCACCAGCGAGCAGCACTGCAGAGAATTAGTGCATTTGAATGCAGGTTGGGAAACGCTAAAATAGTCCAGGTTCATGGGGAAAGAGATCAGTGGCACTAAAAACGGGCCAAACTTTCAGGTGTTTGCAGACCTAGCCACAAAAGAGATAGCTGCTGTATTTTTTTTATTTAGTGTATTTGAGGTTTGTTTTTTCAGATGAACTTTGTTGCAATTTAACATTGAACTATGTGAAATTCAGGTGTGTAACTATTAGCTAGAGAAATCTAAGATCATGGGCTGTACGTTGAAAAGTATTTTGTACTTTGGAAATATATCATATAGGCATGCCTATAAATATAACTGAAAGCAAAGCCACAGCAAAAGTTTTTGGAGTTATCACAACTGATGGCCCAAAAGCAATAGTAAGTAAAATGAAGTATACAAACTGCAAAATTAGTGGCAGGGCTCTAAATTTCACCTGTCAGTGCAAGGAAATGCTGAATGCAGGCATGCTTAATTTACCTATCAGAATCTGTCGGCCCTAGTGGTGTGCAGAGAAGTAGCACATTGTGTATTATACACCACTAAGTGAGATAATGAGAGCAGAAGTCAGAAACCTTAATGTATTGGCTGTTTAGGAATCAAAACTGTTGCATAACATTTCTTCACATTAGCATAGTCCGTTGTGTCAGTACAGTACTGTGACAGGGCTGTTGCCTTCTTGTGTGTACATACAGAGGCCGTGAGTGCGACTGGGGCCTCTGAATACTATTTTTGCATACATTACATCATGAATATAATTTGCTTTTTGATATTGCTTGCCAAGGGTTATTAAGGTCATTTTCAGTTACAATCATTACATTCCTGTGTGAGTTTATACAGTGGTCATTAATATGAAGGAACTACATAAAACTGGAAACAAAGCCAACTGAGGCTTTTTTTAGTCAAAGCCAAGAACTGCTACTAACTAGCTTGAAATGGTCTAATTAGCTGTATTTTACAATAGGACTCCAAGTATCATTCCTTGAGTTCAATTTGCAGCTCTTCCTTAAGCCTATCCCAGCACCAAAGCTAGATACTGATGTTCACACGGAGGCCAGGCAGGCAGGAATGTGTTAGAGAAAGACTGAAGGCCAGTGGAAAAGCTGCATGTTAGCTTGGAGAAAGTATTTAATTGACCTCTTCTCCCACGATAAAGGAGGTTGGGTTATGTTTGCCTAACCCCACTGTTGGCCCACTGAAGCTCTCGATGAAGGGCTATTTTGTAAAATGCTGAATTCTATTGGTTTGGAACTGCTGATATTTCCATATTAAACATAGGAGAGGAAGTATATTTATGCTTGTAGTTCTTCGTGGAAGGAGGAATTTGTAGCAGAGTGCAACGTTTATAGAGAAACTAACTGCATTTGGTTTTTTCTTTAAAGGTAAACATTCATGGCAAAAGAAAACTTGGCACTTAAATGAGTGCCAATGAAAAGACAAAGACACTCCTTCAGAAAGAATTTTTTGGCTACATTATAATCCCTCCAGAGCTTAACGCTTGCATGTCACACATACACTCTCTCCCCCAGTTACAAAGATTTTAAGAATTGTTTGAAAAAATGAATTGCACGTGTAGTATTCATGAGACTGGCAGGCATGAGAGGCCTGGAGACTGACATCATCCATTGGTATGGCACAGGGCAAGTGCCATACGGGATTTAGCGATCCACAAGACCCTGCCAGGGCTGCAACCTGGAGTGATTAACATTAGAGACGTGAAGCAAGATCAGAGTCCATGAAACTCTGAATTCTTCCTTGCCTTCTGCACAGAAGCTGGAAGGCGGGAGTGTCATAGGTGTCAGTAGCTTCTGAGATGTGGCTATTTGCTCTCTGGGTAAGGGTTTGAGACCACACTCTTTTCATGTAAGCCAGTGCTTCTCTCTCACTACAGGGCTGTGTTCAGAAGGGTGGCCTAGAGGGCAAGATCTCTGCATCCCACTACCAACTTCCAGAGCCATCTATTTTCCCAAATTCAATCATATTACTGATCTACTTAAGAGATAATGTATCCAAAGTAGAACAAAAATTGCCAGGCAGAAACTGACAAGATGTTAGAGAGAATTTGTTTATTGGTTTTGGGCCAAGTTTTGGTGATGTTGAAAGCATACCACCCATTAGTAAGAATGTTATATCTAAGCAATGAGAAATTTCTTTACAAAATGACCAACATACCAGACTGGTTGTGCTTTTGCTGACCTATATTTATTATTTTCCTTTCACAGACAACATGCCAGTAACAAGACTGCGCATGAGGCCATGGCTGGAGATGCAGATTGATTCCAATAAAATACCGGGTCTGATGTGGATCAACAAGGTGGGACTGTTGTCTTTGCTTTATCTTTAGTGATCTTCATCCCTCTATTCTGAGCTGATGTTATACACAATGTCACATTAAAAGAAAAGGGGTAGAGTTTACACATGCTACATAAAACAGCATTTTTTATTTCAAAAATAATAGCTGTAATTGATTAATGATGAATGGAAGAAACCTGATTTGGGACCCTAGAACATCTGAGATCTGCGTCCAACTTGGGCCAAGTTATTTTATATCTTAGTTAAGGCATCATTGTTACAGTCTCAACCACTGAAAGGGACTTTAGGCCAAATCTTGAGAGATGCTTAGCATTTGAACCACTGACGTTGATACTGTACACCTATCACTTCACTAAATCTCTCTCACACATTAAGCTTATTTAGGTTTATCCACATTGATTCAGGATTTTTTGCTGATTGAATATTTTAAACTGTAAAGTGTCTTGAAGTGCAGAGGAAAGGTGCTATCTGAGCTAAATTAGTGTTGCACTGTAAGAAATATTTTTATGATTTGCACTGCTCTATCCTTATTGTTAATTTTTAACAAGATTCTCTTTAGAGAGAAAAAAATACCTAAGAACTTTATGATAAACATAAGGATCAGAGACAAATCAACAAATCATGGTAGTTGTGAGATAAGGCTGGCAGTGTCCCTCATTTCTGTTATACCTTGTTATTCATCTCTGCAAAACTCAGAACCCTTGGGAAACTTTATATGGGATGTAGTTCACATGTGGAACTAAGAGAATGCTACATTAGGAATCTGGTGGCAGCCTTAATGCAGAGTTTCCTTGGTGTGGCTCAGTTATCTTGTATTAAGTCCATATTTAGTTATGAGTGGATATGTTATATTCCCTGTATTCAAAACAACTACATTGTTTAACTACAGGATAAGATGATGTTCCAGATCCCCTGGAAACATGCAGCTAAGCATGGATGGGATCTAGAAAAAGATGCCTGCCTTTTCCGAAGCTGGGCCATTCATACTGGTATGTGCTGGTTTTAAAATTTTATCATTTAAACAGAGAGCGCCAAATTCCGCCCTCATCTATAGTCCACGTTGACTGACTTAACTGGCTTATGTGACTAAAGAATGGCACAAAAGTTAGTTTTTTGGGGAACAATTACCGCAGAGTAGTCTGAAATGCTGAAGACTTCCTTTTATTTATAGGGAGATACAAGATAGGTGAGCGAGAGCCCGATCCCAAAACTTGGAAGGCAAATTTCCGCTGTGCCATGAATTCACTGCCTGATATTGAGGAGGTGAAGGATAAAAGTATCAACAAGGGCTCCAGTGCAGTCCGGGTTTACAGGATGCTACCACCCTTAACAAAGCTTCAGAAAAAAGGTATGTGTGTTATTGTCCATATAATTTGCAGTTAATAGTCTGTTTAAATTTCCTGTGCTTGTGAATAGGTACTGTCTAAATTCCTTGACAGAAGTAAAGTATTGATGTGAATAGACAGTGTTATTACAATTGCTAAGTTCTACTTTGGATGTATAGCTCCTTTTGTCCAAAGATCACATAGCAATTTTTTGAAAGTTAATTAATTCTCACAATAACCCTAAGGGGATCAAATCTTCATCAGCCACAGAAATGTGCTATCCCTAGGTGGAATACAGCAGCTGTTCAAGATCTATCACCTAAACTGGCTGTCCTCAATGGCAAAACTCCCAGAGCATGATGATGCCCTTGCAGCTACATCACTACACATAGCAATTACACTTCTGGAAGATTAGAGCCTCAGAAGTAGCTGCAGGCTTTTTCTCACTGTCCCCTTATTTTTGCTTTCACAGAAAGGAAGTCAAAGTCATCTAGAGACTCAAAAAGCAGGAGTAAGAGAAAGGTATGTACTGACTCTGGCAGTTACCAAAGTCAGAGGTTTGCTTTGAAGTTTTGACATATGGGAACAAATATATTTGAGGTCATATCTTGGTCTAATAGACCTTTCGTTCAATACACGTGTCTTTTTAGTCACATGATGACCTGAGGGTGGATGAGGCAGTCGAAGCACTGAACAACAGTCTACCAGATGACCACAGTGGTTATACAGTTCATTTTGCAGAACAGGAAGTGGAGACGGAGAATGCCTCCATCACCTTAGGTGAGATTCAATTTTAGTTCTTCAAACTGAGCAGAGTACTGCACGTACCAAACCCCTGTATCTGAGATCTCAGCATCATAAGCAGAGGGAACAGTGGCTTTCCCTGGGCAACTATGCAACAGGACATGCACAATGTGCTGTAGCATGATCAGAGAGGGATGGGAGGCTATTGTGAATCAGAAAGCCTTGACATTTCCTGAGAATTCTAACTCTTCCCCTCTGTGCATTCCACAGATCTCTCGCCATGTGATATGACCGCACTGGCAGAATGGAGAAATCCAATGGAAATTGCAATGGCGGACAGCACAAATGACCTTTACCAGCTTCAAGTGTCACCTTTAGCTTCATCTTCTGAAGGTTGGTATTATATTCTTTGAAACCACAGGTCAGTCCGATGGAAATAGTTCTACCATCACTGAATTCAGGGGTAGAAGAGAGGTGCGGGGGAGGTGGGGAGAAGAAACAATGCACCCTTGGTACAAATGGTAAGATCTAGCAGGCATTCCAAGGTAAAGGGATCTACTCATCTGTAGTCAAACTGATTACAAAACCAAAAGGCATTTGCTTGTTCAAGTTGAGGGACCTTATGTTGCATTTGTTACATGCACAAAACTCTTGGTGCAATCAACAGGAGTTTTGCATACATGAAGACTGAAGGTTTGGACAAAAAGGCTACGTCTACACTGGCATGATTTTCCAGAAATGCTTTTAATGGAAAACTTTTCCGTTAAAAGCATTTTCGGAAAAGCGCATCTAGATTGGCAGGACGCTTTTCCGCAAAAGCACTGACAATCTTACATGAGATCGTCAGTGCTTTTGCGGAAATTCAAGCGGCCAGTGTAGACAGCTGGCAAGGTTTTCCGCAAAAGCACTGACAATCTTACATGAGATCGTCAGTGCTTTTGCGGAAATTCAAGCGGCCAGTGTAGACAGCTGGCAAGGTTTTCCGCAAAAGCACTGACAATCTTACATGAGATCGTCAGTGCTTTTGCGGAAATTCAAGCGGCCAGTGTAGACAGCTGGCAAGTTTTTCCGCAAAATCATCTGCTTTTGCGGAAAAACTTGCCAGTCTAGACACAGCCAAACTGTTTCCATTAACTGTCTAAACTGATCACACTCAGCACAGTGCTGTGTTATAACATGTCACAGACACCTCATTTCCAGGTATAAAAGTGTCACCATCAGGGGTAAGGAAAACCGTTCTGATCATAGTGCATTGTTGCACAATAGTGTATAGGAATGGATTTGTGCTCGTTTCCGAAATATCTAGCAGTCAGTATCGGGCAGGACACAGAAGTAGATGGCTAATGGTAAAACCCATCACAGTGATTGCTGAAACCAGTCCAGTGTGTTGTCTAAACCCATCTGTGTTGGTATTCACTGTGTCTCATGGCACATCTGCCAATTAGAGTTACACACTCACCTGCTGTTCATCATGGTCAGAGGTAGACTACAGAAGTGACTGGCTTTTCCAATTTTTAAATAGAACAGAAGACAGGCATTTCCACATCAATGTCTTACTTAAGGTGGAAATATCCTCCCATTGCTTATAGATAGAAAGCCTGAGCAAGAAGGCTTTGTAGTGGAAAGCTCCAAGAAGAAAGATTTCTTCCTCCAATGTGCTAGCAGGTTGTAGAGCAGAGGCGCAGCCAACCTACAGCTGTCACTGAAATTCATGACCTCTTACAGTGACTGGGGTTTATAAGAGGAGAGCATAACACAAGCAACTTGAGAGAGATGGAGGCCTCCGATTGTGGATCAACTATCCATACCTCTGATGTGAGCTGCCCACAAAAACATATGTCATGTCACTGCAGGAGGTGGGGTACACAAGGGGATCAGAGATTCCTAGAGCGGCGACCTCTGTAGCTTGTAGAAATTCCTAAGGCTTCCTGTTACCCATAAAGGTGCTATTATGCAACTAGCAAACATGAATTCGTCTGTGGTAATAACTGGATGGAAAAGCAGGGAAGCTGATCTCATGTGATTGCCATTGAGGACACAGAATTAAAGAGAACTTTTTTTTTTCTTTTTCCTTCATAAAACCCAACAGTAACAGATGATGATGCAGAAGAAATGAAAGAGCAACTTTACAAGGTAAAAAGATTATCTCTTTTTTTCAAAGTAACATTGAGTAACTTGCTGCTTGTGTTGAGGGTTGAGAGTTCGCAAGTACATCTTGTACATCTCACTAATTTGTAAATAACCTAGCTACAGCCAGGTTGTGGAGAACAGGCAGAGGAGGAAATACTTAATAGTGTTCTGTCCCTTTGAATGTGCATGCGCCATTTTAGAGACAAGCACTGAAAAGCTGAGTGACAGTTCTGAGACTCAGAAGACATTTGCACTCTAAAAGGAATCTCTTCCAAAACCCCAATTAATGTGATTGTATTTAAATAGATTTAGCTGCATATATATGCACAAAACACTTGTGCAGTCCATTGTTAGCCCTCTTGGGTGAAAACTGACAATCCCAGCAAACAGTGAGGTGGTTTTGTGATGTGTATTCATAAGAACTAAGACCTCATTAGGTATCTACATCATGATGAAATCTGCCCTTAAATGGAAAAGCAGTGCCAGATGGTGTCTGCAGCCCTATGTGGGAAATATTATTGCTATTGATCTGTTTGTCCAATGGGGGTTGATCTGTTCTCTTGAACATTGTAAGGCTTGCACATTTCAAACCTTCCCCATGTCCCCTTTGTCTCTTGCAGCTGTTTGAGCAACAGGACTGGCATACAACCAGTGTTGGTGGGAAAGGATATCTTACTAATGAGCCCGGCACACAAAATATCTGCAGCAACTTCAGCTACAAGGAGCAAGATTCTGAAATAGATACAACCTCAGGTACAAATTCCTTCATTTCTGAAGCCAAGTTACTGAGGCCTTGTTTATGCTTATGCACACTCTGGTGATCGATCTTCTGGATTTCTACTTAGCGGGACTAGTAAGGTTGCAAGGAGAAAGGGAAGTTAATGGGAGAGTTTCTCCTGTCGACCTCTTGCAGTGGAGCCGCCTCAGAAATTTGGTTTAATGCAATTCTCATAGCTGAAGATCTGTATCTTAAATCAAATTTCTGGCATAGCAAAGACTTGGCCATCGAATACAACTAGAGGTAGAGAGAGAAGCAAATTAAGCTCTTTATGCAAGATTGTTTAAATTGAGTGAAAAATCAAAAAAAAAAAAAAGTGGTTTATGAATTATTATGTTTTATTTGAGATTTCTATCCAGCACATTAATTTCAAATTGAAGGAGTTTATTTGGGACTTTTTAAAAGATGATTTGTACCAGAATGTGTACCACTAACTGGTGCTTAAAACTTATATGTATATGCAGACATGGTCTGATCAGTGGGAATTAAGCACAGAAATCTGAGCTTTAATTCAGTTTCCAGTTTTAGCCTCACAGATTACTTTTAAGATGTCAGTTTCCAGATTTAAAGTTGCGTAGCCATAAAGAAGTGAAAGTTGTAATAAGAATTACAGCAAATGTAAAGCATTTTCAAAGATAAAATTTTTTGCAGATGTATCTAATTGTAATCAGATTATTTGAACGTTTACATTTTCACTATAGTATTATTAGTTCATGCTAACTATTTTGTTGTGGCGCATGGTAAACTTCTAATTTCTATTTTTTTTTTTTTTTTTTTTAGGGGAAATAGAGTTCAGATTTTGTACCGATCTGAAAAACAGTTTAGAATTCTCCTGGCTGGATACAGTTCGGTCTAGTGGTATACAAGTCATTCCTTGTAGCTTGTAAACCTCTCTTGCTTCTTCGGACTGTGAACTGTTTTACTTCTCCTGTTCCTTGTGAAGGTGAACAGAGTGTAGTTACTGATGGTGTGAGAAGCAAGAACTTCTACTTTCCGTTTAACTTCTGGGACTGAAGAGACCAAGCCATGAAAACTCCATTATTAAAAAACAAAATAAAAAACCCTTCTCACCAGAACTGTTTGCTTTGAAGGCCTATGAAACTTAAAATTGCTTCTGATGTGAAGCTGTTCCCACATTAATGTGAAATGGGGTTCTGACTTTTTTGTTGGGATACAAGTGAAGGGCTGTCAGTAGAAGCTGAACTGGGTTCCCCATTTCTCTCTCATGTCTTTATAACTGAAAAGCACTGCGTTGGGAGGAAACCATCTACCATCTCTTTTACTGTCCTTTACCAATCTGATGCTTAGGGGGCACAGGGCAAATGTGCCTGTTCCTGTTAGTTCAGGTTGCCACATACCTGTGTAGCACTAGTGAAGTACTTCTGAGCTTGTTGACAATCATTACAGATTTTAGGAGTCAACAACAATTGCACTAATTGACCCCCTTTCCTTTGATTGCTCCAGCACACAGCTGATTGAGAAATTTACTTCTGTAAATATATTTAGTCCAAGAAAATGTGAAAATCAGCTACATGCTTTGCTTCCATGTATTACAGTTATTCAGAAGATCTGCTCATAAGAATTATTCTGTTGCCATTATACATGAGGTATGCCAGTTGTTCGTTTAATAATTATGAAAGAGCTGCCATACTTTGGACCCATAATTATTTGCACGGATGGGCATAACACTTTATTTATACAGGACCTTTCATGGCAGCCAACAGAATGCTCATCACTGCAATAGAGTACATAGACTACTGTGTATAATATATCCCCAATGAGCTGAGAGAAGATCTTTAGAGAACCAAAGATATAAGCCTATGCAGAGTAGTACAACATAACAGAAAGGAGGGAGGTCTTTTGATTAATGTTTAAATATTTGGAAATCCATCAAATCACTAATTGTAACTGAGCATTTTCCTGTACATAGTTTTGTATATAAAGAGTGTTGTACATTTGTTTTAATAAAAACTTTTATATATGAAATATGGTTGACTTATTTGAACACTAAATGAGAAAATGTATTCTGGGTTGTTTGGGCATTTCCTGAGAGTCAGATTTGCTTGCAAAGATCCTCTCAGTGTTACCACGTCTAAATGCAGGGTCTATTGTGATTGTGACTCTATTTGGTACCCAACAGAACACTCATTGAAGTCAGTGAGGTTTCCTCCA